GCCAACCTAGCGGTTCGAAAGCATGCAAATGCAAGTAGATCAATAGGGACCACCTCGGTGGGAAAGTAACAGCGTTCCGTGTCTAAGTCGCACTGGCCATGTGACCACGGAAGATTGTCTTTGGACAAAAACGCTGGCTCTATGGCTTGGAAACGGGGATGAGCACCGCCCCCCTAGAGTCGAACACGACTGGACAAAAATTGTCAAGGGAAACCTTTACCTTTACCTTTACTACAACTTCTCCTGGATACAGTGATTCATTAGGATGTGCGTGGAAATGCCAATATTGTTCGACACAGTGATAAATTCAGTGGATAGCATATAGTTATTCATAACACATACATGTCTTCATAATATTCTAAAGTGGCTTATTCCAACTTAAACAGTCTTAACAAGGCACTAGAATGTACCTCGCTTAAGCACCAACACATTCCAATAGTCTGTTAACGAGCTTCGGGTTTCTGCATGTCTCACGTCGACTGCCCGCTTTGTTAGTCTTTTTCCAGGCAGATTTTGGTGCTTATCTTTTCCACTGGAACCCCGTATTCTTAATTCTGAATGCACTTCCACTATGGCTCCCACAAAAACTTACATCAAATAAAGGGTGTCACAGCTCTCTCTCTCTCTCTCTCTGGGTTGTTTGATAAATGGAGGGGAAATCACAACATGACAATCCTGGTTTTTTTCATTCCATTGGGAACACAGCATCAGATGTGGGGGGAAGTTGAAGGTAAGGCGTTCTTTTCAGCCAATCTCGTCACTTGAGGGAGGAAGCCATGAAACCCATACCTGTACAGAACCCACCTCGCCCCCGGGAAGTGTAAGATGTAGTTCATCTTATCGAAAGGGATGCATCTTGGCAGCTCATCTTGTTCATTCTGTTAACCAGATGAGGTTACATTCTGAATCTGCATGTCCATTTGCCCCCTTCCTTTCTCAGTGCTGTGGCCAGTCATTGCCTAGGGTACTTATTTGCAGTTCTTAGCATCATAGAATCATGAAGTTGGAAGGGACCTATAAGGTCATCGAGTCCAACATCTTGCTCAGTGCTGGACTACAAATCAAAGGATATCTGCCAGGTGATTGTCTAAATTTCCCTTGAATGCCTCTGGCCTCCCAAGGTCGTGGGTTCCAGTGTTGTACTGCTCTAGCAGTTAAGAAGTTTTTCCTGATCTTTAGCCCAAATCTGGCTTCCTGTAACTTGAGCCCATTGTTGAGTGTCCTTCACTCTGGGATGATCAAGAACATATCCTGCCCCTCCTCTGTAAGACAGCCTTTCAAATACAGTGGCACCTCGCTAGACAGTTACCCCGCAGTTACCCTAGTTTTTTCACTAGACATTGACTTTTTGCGATCACTATAGCGATTCGCAAGACAGTGATTCCTTTGGGGGACTTTCGCTGGACGATGTTTGGTCCCTGCTTCGCAAACCGATTTTCGCTAGACAACAATTTTGACAGTTCCCTCCATGCTCGCAAAATGGGTGTTTTCGGGATCTAAGCTTTGCAAGACAGCTATTTAAACAGCTGATCGGCGTTTCGCAAAGCGGCTTTCCTATGGCTGATCTTCGCTAGACAACGACGATTCTTCCCCATTGGAACGCGTTAAACAGATTTCAATGCATTCCAATGGGTAAATGCTTTTCGCTAGACAATGATTTCGCTAAACAGCGATTTCACTGGAACGGATTATCATCGTCTAGCGAGGAACCACTGTATTGGAAAAGTGCTCTCCTCTCTCGCCTCCGTCTTCTTTTCCCAAGGCTAAACAGGCCCAGTACTTTCAGTCTTTCCTCCTACGGCTTGGTGTCCAGCCCCCATCCCCCCCGATCATCTCCCTGCCCCATCAGTCTTGCTCTCATCTTTTCTTCTAAGTTTGAAAGCCATTATTTTAAATTAAATTCCGGATGTTTTGGCGTTACTGATATAATCAGTCCTAGTGGTGAGAAAGCAGGGGAGCAGCAGTTCCCCCAAAAAATCTCAACCCCCCTCCGTTTGAAACTCCTTCTGTGGGTCTCAAAGAAACCCTGCACATCCAGCTAGCTAAATAAAATTTCTTTCAGATGTAGAGAAAGGGGGCTGACAGCTTAATAAGTACGGAACACCTTTTGTGACCTCAGATGGTGGGTTTGTTCCATCGACTCTTTCCTTTCTCACACCAGGGGTTTTCCTCCGTTGGAACCGGTCCTCCAAATTTCTGGACGAGTCCTATGAAGAGATGATCAACATCATCAAGTACAACAGGGAACTTCAAGTGAAAGTCAACCTGCTGAGGCGGCAGCTGGCAGAGCTGGAGGCTGACGACGGCATGCCGGATGACGGGATGGCGGAAAGCCCTTAAGATCTGGCACGGTTCTGGAGGCTCAAGATGTTCCTTCCCTGCTGGGCAAGTTGCCTCTACCCCACCGAGCACTAAACACAAACACAAACACACAGAGACACGACCTGCATGCGCTCAAGCTCCTCCTCTTTGTTTTGGTGCAATCAAGTTGAGCGTTTCTGGGGCTCTTGGCTTCACCGTTCGTCACGTGGCACTATAATCAGCTTTCTTTGTTTATTGTTTACAGGAGCAGCCCCGTTTAATTTATTTAAGCAGTCTGCCCGCCTCTGGCAGTTTCTCCATTGCTAATAAATGATATGTACAGTTCTGTTTGGCCTTGGCCATAGCGCTTGACTACTACTGAGTCCTCCTTTGCAAATTACAAATTTGCCTTTGGTGAGAAAGACTACATTCTGGACTTGACAGATGTTTCTGATTCGTCCAAATTGACCTTTTCTGGATTTGGCTACTCTCCCCACAACTCAGTTGTCCTTTTTGCTTCCCTATGGGTTGGACGATATGTGTTGGCTTTATTTTGGGCCTTTGGTCCCAAGTCAAAGTAGCACCATCCCACGCATCTCATTCAGTGCTGCAGAAGGTGGCCCACCAGGGTAGAAGGTGTCCCTTAAAAAGGTTTTGGTTTTTCCACCACACTCGGCACTCAACCGCACAGCCAGGATTGAGCCATCCTGAGCTCTTCTTGGGTTGCACGCCCAGATGGGCTCGGAACAGAGCAGGAAGTTTTACTAGACTGCATGTTGGAATACCA